AGATTCAATGCAATCCCTATCAAACTACCAATGGCATTTTTCACAGAACTAGAACAAATAATTTCACAATTTGTATGGAAATACAAAAAACCTCGAACAGCCAAAGCAATCTTGAGAAAGAAGAACAGAACTGGAGGACCAACCTGCCTGACTTCAGACTACACTACAAAGCTACAGTCATCAAGACAGTATGGTACTGGCACAAAGACAGAAATATAAATCAATGGAACAAAATAGAAAGCCCAGAGATAAACCCACGAACCTATAGACACCTTATTGTTGATAAAGGAGGCAAAATATACAATGGAGAAAAGACAATCTCTTTAACAAGTGGTGCTGGGAAAACTGGTCAACCACCTGTAAAAGAATGAAATTAGAACACTTTTTAATACCATATACAAAAATAAACTCAAAATGGATTAAAGATCTAAACCTAAGACCAGAAACTATAAAACTCCTGGAGGAAGACACAGGCAGAACACTCTCTGACATAAATCACAGCAAGATCCTCTAGGACCCTCCTCCCAGAGTAATGAAAATAAAAACAAAAATAAACAAATAGGACCTAATTAAACTTAAATCTTTTGCACAACAAAGGAAACTATAAACAGGGTGAAAAGGGAGCCTTCAGAATGGGAGAAAATAATAGCAAATGACACAACTGATAAAGAATTAATCTCCAAAATGTACAAGTAGCTCATGCAGCTCAATTTCAGAAAAATGAAGGACCCAATCAAAAAATGGGCCAAAGAACTAAACAGACATTTCTCGAAAGAAGACATACAGATGGCTAAGAAACACATGAAAAGATGCTCAACAACACTCATTATCAAAGAAATGCAAATCAAAGCCACAATGAGGTGCGATCTCACACTGGTCAGAATGGCTGCCATCAAAAAGTACAAACAATAAATGCTGGAGAGTGTGTTGAGAAAAAGGGAACCCTCTTACACTGTTGGTGGGAACGCAAACTAGTAAAGCCACTATGGAGAACAGTGTGGAGATTCCTTAAAAAAACTGGAAATAGAACTGCCATACAATCCAGCAATCCTGCTGCTGGGCATACACACCAAGGAAACCAGAATTGAAAGAGACACGTGTACCCCAGTGTTCATTGCAGCACTGTGCTGGGCATACACACCAAGGAAACCAGAATTGAAAGAGACACATGTACCCCAATGTTCATTGCAACACTGTTTAAAATAGCTAGGATATGGAAGCAACCTAGATGTCCATCTGCAGGTGAATGGATAAGGAAGTTGTGGTACATATACACAACAAACTATTACTCAGGTATAAAAAATGAAACTGGAGCCTATTATACAGAGTGAAGTCAGTCAGAAAGAGAAACACCAATATAGTATATTAATGCATACACACACACACACACACACACACACACACACATATATTTAGAAAGACAGTAACAGCAACCCTATATGCAAGACAGCAAAGAGACACTGATGTAAAGAACAGACAATAGCATTGAAACATGTATATTAATATATGTAAAATAGATGACCAGTGCAAGTTTGATGCATAAAGCAGGGCACCCAAAGCTGGCACTCTTGGACAACCCAGAGGGATGGGGTGGGGAGGGAGGTGGGAGCAGGGTTCAGGATAGTGGAACACATGTATACCCATGGCTAATTCATGTTGATGTATGGCAAAAACCACCACAATATTGTAAAGTAATTGGCCTCCAATTAAAATATATAAATTACTTAAAAAAAATTGTAAACCAGTAACATGCCAACAGTGACTTTCTAAATCCAGGAAAATAGTCAGTCCTACATATGCCTGCTAAGTCAAAAGAGAAATTACCACATTTACTTCTCGCAACACAGACCTTTGGATATGTCGTCAATCACTCACCCCTCATACCAACATCCTCTCCCACTCGCCAAACACCAAAATGCCTGCTTTGTTGTTGTTGGCTTTTCTTGAGAGAGACTTATTTAATAAGTCTTTTCACCTTACAAACGTGTGCTCTCTCCATCAATCACACTCTTAAACTCCCAGACTCTCAGTTTCCATAGCCATAAAAGGAAGAGAAGAAAGACAGGAAGAAGCAAAGCAAGAAAGAGAGGAAGGGATAAGTAAGATATAAGTTGACTTAATGACCAATTCAGCGATGAACAACAATCTCACCATGACTAATTTGCTTTTTTTTGACTGTCCCATGAACTAGAAAAACTTACAACTGAACAAATAGGTATCAGTCATTAAATGTGCTCCCAACTTGAAAATTTTTCACTTACTACATCTTTGTCAATAGTCACATTCTCAAAGGCATTTGCTTTCTTCCGGTTAGGACAAAAAAACGTATTTCTGTAGCTCAGGGCTGAAGGCCCAGCTATTGTGCATTCCAGTCACTTTTAGTCACTTGTTCTAGTTAACTGCATTCCAGACAAACAGTGGTCTCTGCTACCAGGTCTCAAAAATTTCCCACATGGGGAAGCCTTACAGCTACAGCTCAAAGGGCCTGTATCTGTGAATGAAGTACATTTCAGAACATGCTGTGTTCTATATTATTTAGCACACAAAGTATTATTAACACTAAGCTGTTTTGAAACTAGACTTTAACCAAGTTTTAATTATTATTTACTTTGGGGAGAAAATTTAAAAATGTATGTCAGGAATGGTGGCTGGGTGATACTCAGAGCTGCACACAGATACCTGGGTTCTCCCAGGCTGTCCTCTGCTGGGTCCAGGTCTTTTTCAGGTCCTTCTTCTGGTTTTTCATTGCTGTCCTCCTCACCTTCAGCTTCTTGGACCTCCTCATCAGACTCTTCGTATTGATAATCACTTGCTTCTTCTGTGAAGTATAATACAGACTTTGGGACTGGAACTTCATGGAAAAAAATAATCCAATTTATAATCAGTAGCCACATTCAGTACTCTACCCCTGGGGAAGAGAGAAGTAGGTGAAGAAAGAATAGCTGGGCACCTTCCTAGAGGCTGGGGACACCTTCAGGGCCCTCACATTTTTGCAGCTTCAGGGTTTTTAGGGTGAGGTCTTTACCATCTTTCCAGTAGATCTCACACCCTGTGCTGCTGATTATTTCTGGCCCTTTGGAGAAGAAGGGATCAGAATCATCTGGGTCTGACCGCATTTGGTACGATTTTGTCAGAACTTTGTTGAAAAGGTATTCCTTTCACTTAAAAAGAAATTCTACTGTGAAGCTCATTGGTTGCTGGACCCCTGAGAATTTTTATTTTTACATCTTTCAGGTGCTCCAGTACAAGTTCATCATTTTCCCGGATCATGCTACTGGGAATCTTTAGGTTTTTAAGTGCCCTCAAACAAAAGTGAGAGATGCCCTTTGTTTTCTCTTCCCTTCTGGCTCTCTTTCCATCTCCTCCCAGGCTCCTTCTGTAACAGGTACTGGCCACTGACATTCACCTTCTGTGGGCTCATGAATTGCATTGATGATGTCAGCTCTCTTATCAAACAGAGGCTGGCAGAAGGCAGCATACTTTTTCTCAAGACTGTAAAGGTCTTTATAGAATTGGGCTTCAACTTGTGCAAATTATGCCTGGAGGTTTTTGAGAGCTTTGATCCGCTGCTTAACCGCTAGAGGCCAGTGCTGAGTGTGGCCTACCTTTGAGCCCGATGCCCCCACAGGGTCCACAAGGGCCTGAGGGCCCGGCAGCCACTTGCGCACCTCAGCCCTGCCGGGACCACAGACCTCAGCCTCCCAGAACTCAGAGGCAATAGCCAGGGCGCCACCCTCCCAGAGCTCAGCCTCCACCATGGATTCCTCTGACTTCTGGGATGCAGCTCCCTTGACCCTGGGACCCTGAAGCTCCCAGGGTGGGGCACCCTCTGCTTGGTACTCACCCTGCGAGGCCTTGCCTCCCTCTCCCAGGTCTTCCTGCTCCTGTGGAGGTGCGGGACCCTCTCCAGGGCCTGAGAGAGGCTGGGAGCTGTGCCTGACCATCAGGCGGGTGTCAGGGGGCCAGACCAGGACATGGTCATCATAGGACAAACTGCGTAGAAGGGAGTGGACAAGACCCCAGAACACAGGCCCAAACTGCTCCAAGGGGTCCCTGTGGCCTGCAACCATCGCTGCGACTTCCTGCTCACTCTCGTCATCCTCTACTGTCTCCTTCTCCTCCTCCACTTCTTCCAACAGGTGCTCCTCCTCCTCCTCCAGGTCCTCCAGCTCGAAATCAGATTCATCCTCCTCCTCATTCTCCTCCATCTCCTCTAGACCTCCCTCCATCTCCTCTTCTAATGGCTCTATCTCCCATTCCTCTTCCATTGTGGCCTGTGGCCCACCATGCCCCCTGCAAAGGGCTCCTGACACCCTCAGGGAGGGCAGAAGGGCCTCCTCGACCCCATCTGTCCCCTCCCAAGTTGGTGCCAGGACCCCAAGGGGACTGGGGTCACAGCCCGCCCCGCCACCAGCCCTGGCCAGGCCATCTGGGATCCAGTCATGTTCCTCTGTGGCAGACATGGCAGGAGAGATGTGCCAGACTGTGATGGGCCTGCAGTGATGTCCACGGGGAAGATGGTGGCCGCCGGGCTGAGAGTTGTGGAGGAGACGCCGTTGGCAACAGGGACCGCAAGGTGGGGGTGGGGCGGCAGAGATGTCAGCTGCACAGGGAACTGGAGTCTGTGAAGGTGCTGGTGTGGGCCCGCAACAGGAACGGCAAGGGGGCTGCCCACAGACCGGCCCGCCAAGACCGAAGCTGAGATGGCGGCAGACAGGCAGGAAAGACCCTGAAGGGCTGGTGACGGTAGGTGGAGCTTGAAGGGTCAACAGGGGACCACTTCCTCCAGCGCCAGCTCTAAGCTCATTTGCCAGGAGTTAAGGATTGGCATGATCGCCATCCAGTGAGTGGTCAAGGCCCTCAGCTTCCCTGGAGGCCTGACAGGCCCAGGTCACACTTTGAGCCAATAGAAGTCCCTTCCTTTTCATTCCATCATTGCAAAAGCAAAACTACAGTGTCCGTACGCGGGAGTGTGGAGGGGTGTGGAGGAGTGTGGGGGGGTGGGGGGTGCCCTGGTGTATGGGAACCTGGATATGGTTGCCACGCTGGGACAACTCACACCAGCAGAGATACACTTTAAAAAAAGAAAGAAAAAGCGAAGGTGTATAGATCAAATATCGGCAACTGTTTAAAACCTCCTGTGAGAGACAAAAAGAGAATTTGGTGGTTTTAATGTTGCAAAAGTTATTTAGTAACAGCACACAAAGTTGATATGGATGCTGATGAGAATGGAGAGTGGAAGAAGCAGTAAAAATTGGACTGAACCCTGTTTCATCAGGGCTCCCCCAATTCACTTCAAGGCACCATGAAATGAAGAGAGTGACTTATTTCAAGACTGCACTAAGCACCTGCTCTGCACTAAAGTTACACACACTCCCTCCCAAATTCATATTTTGAATTGCTTATCCACCTCACACCCCAGATGATGGGGGAGTAGAAGGATATATGCTCATCTCCTCCTGTGAGAGCACCAGAATTGCAACTACCTGTTGAACAACCATCGACAGGAGGATGCTGGAACCTACCAAAAAGAGATATCTCACGTCCAAAGACAAAGGAGAAGCTTCAATGAGATTGTAGGAAGGGTGCAATCACAATAAAATCAAATCCCGTATCCACCGGTTGGGCAACCCACAAACTGAAGAACAATGATACTCAAGAAGTTCTCTCACTGTTGTGAAAGTTCTGAGCCCCACATCAGGCTTCCAGCCTGGGAATTTGATAAAGGGGCTGGGAATCCCCAGGGAATCTGACCTTGAAGGCCAGCGGGCTTTGATTATAGCACTTCCACAGGACTAGAGGAAACAGAGACTCCACTCTTGGAGGGCACAAACAAAATCATGCACACACCATGACCCAAGGGAAAGGAGCAGTGACCCCAGAGGAGACTGATGCAAAACTACCTGCTGCTGTTGGAGGGTCACCTGTGGAGGCCTGGGTAGGCAAGTGTTCATGGCAGGGACAGGGACACTGGTAGCAGCAATCCTGGAAGGTCCCTCTTGATGTAAGTCCTCTTGGACTTGCCACTAACCCTACCACAGAGCCCATAGACCCCAGCCCTTGGATGCCTCAGGCCAAAACACTAACAAGAAGGGAGTACAACCCCACCCAATCTCAGACAATTGAATTAAAGATTTACTGACCAAGGCCCTGCTCACCAAAACAAGACCCAGTTTTCCCCACCCTGTCCTTCCCATCAGAAAGCTTACAGAAACCTCTTAGCCTCATCCACCAGAGGGCATGCAGAAAAAGTAAGAAGAAAAACAATGGAGAAGATGCAAGAATTGTTTACCAGAGACCTAGAAGAACTAAAGAACAAACTGAGATGAACAAAACACTAGAAGAAGTCAATAGCAGAATAACGGAGGCAGAAGAATGGATAAGGAAGGGACCTGAAGGACAAAATGGTGGAAATCACTGCTGTGGAATAGAATATAGAAAAAATGCAAAAAAAAAAAAAAAAAATGAAGATAGTGTAAGAAACTTCTGGGACAATATTAAATGCACCAAAGGGGTCCCAGAAGAAGAGAGAGAAAGGACTCAACAAAATATTTGAAGAGATAATAGCTGAAAAATTCCCTAACATGGGAAAGGAAATAGTCAACCAAGTCCAGGAAGGGCAGAGAGTCCCAGGCAGGATAAATCCAAGGAAGTTTATCCAAGGAGGATAAGCCCAAGGAGGTATATTGGTGACTGTATCCACCAATACACCTAGTAATCAAACTGACAAAAATTAAAGACAAAGATAAAATATTAAAAGCACAAGGGAAAATGACAAATAACACATGAGGGAACCCTCATCAGGTTATCAGCTGTTTCTCAACAGAAATTCTACAAGCCAGAAGGGAATGGCATGATATATTTAAAGTGATGAAAAGGAAGAAACTCCAACCAAGAATACTCTACCCTGCAAGATTCTCATTCAGATTTGATGGAGAAATCAAAAGCTTTCTTCACAAGCAAAAGTTGAGAGAATAAAAAGACCTACAGAAAATAAACCCAAAGCAATTAAGAAAATGGTAATAGGATCATATATATCGATAACTACCTTACATGTAAATGGGTAAAATGCACCAACCAAAAGACATAGACTGGTTGGGTGGATGAAAACATATGCATGCGTGCACTGCCACTTTCTCCATCACTCTGCTTAACCCCCAAATTGTATGTAATCATTTTATATTGTTAGATTAATCATACTCCCATTATGGCTTGCAACTGTAATTACTTTTTATTTTTTGTCTGGCTATTGATTGTGAAAACTGATAAACATCTTTTATTATTGTGAGTATGTAACTACTATTCACTTAATACCATTGTGTCATGATTGGTCAACAGAAAAACAATAGAATTCTGTATCACCAAAAAAGGCAGAGGAAGAAGAGATCAAATTGCCAACATCCGTGGGGTCATAGAAAAAGCGAGAGAGTTCCTTTAAAACATCTACTTCTGCTTTATTGACCATGCCAAAGCCTTTGGCTGTGTAGATCACAACAAACTGTGGAAAATTCTTCAAGAGATTGGAATACCAGACCATCTTACCTGCCTCCTGAGAAATTTGTGTGCAGGTCAAGAAGCAACAGTTAGAACAAGACGTGGAACAACAGGCTGGTTCCAAATTGGGAAAGGAGTATGTCAAGGTTGTATATTGTCACCCTGCTTATTTAACTTATATGCAGAGTTGTTGTTGTTGTTTAGTCACTAAGTCATGCCCGATTCTTTTGTGACCCCATGAACTGTAGCCTTCCAGGCTCCTCTGTCCATGGGATTTTCCCAGGCAAGAATATCGGAGTGGGTTGCCATTTCTTTCTCCAGGGGAACTTCCCAACTCAGGGTCTGAACCCAGGTCTCTTGCATCTCCTGCACTGGCAGGCGGATTCTTTACCAGCGAGCCACTGAGGGAAGCAGAGTACATCATGCGAAATGCTGGGCTGGAGGAAGCACAAGCTGGAAGCAAGATTGCTGGGAGAAATATCAATAACCTCAGATATGCAGATGACATCACCCTTATGGCAGAAAGTGAAGAGGAACTAAAAAGCCTCTTGATGAAAGTGAAAGAGGAGAGTGAAAAAGTTGGCTTAAAGCTCAACATTCAGA